AACATCACCAATCTTCAAACGCTTGAAAAGTTCCAAGTAGTTCCGACGTTTTCGAGTCAAAAAATTGGGGACGAACAGAGACTTGTGAAAATCAACAGCTGGTATTTCATGCAGAATAAACAGGGATTTAGTGTGGTTTGTTTGTCGGTGACATCATCGTTTCATATTTCACTGTTATCTCGTCATGATAATCGACTATTTGATGACTGAAATGGAAGCTCGCGATCTCGGCGACATTTGGTTTCAACAAGGCGCCGCCACTTCCTACACATCGCATTAATCAATGCATGTATTGAGAGAACACTTCAATTTAATTCAATTGGCCACCAAAATCATATGGTATCACACCGTTAGACTTTTTCCTGTAGAGATATGTAATGCCTAGTGTCTTTGCGGACAATCGCACTTCGATTCTGACCTTGGAGCAAAACATCACGCGTGGCATACGCCAGTTACCAGTCGAAATGCACGAACGAGCCATCGAATACTGGACTCAACTAATGGAGCGATGGAGATGTAGCCAATGCCAACATTAGAAAGAGACAGGCTGCAAAAAATAGTTGGAAAAAATGTTCTTTCGAATGATAGTAAACACTCCCCTCATTAAATTTGAAAATTTTGTATTTTTTCCTTCAAAAAGTGGATAACCTCGTAATGGATCACCCTTTATAAAGCTGCGATTGATGTTTGCATGCAGTTAAATTGCAAATATCGATGACTTTTACATTATTATGTCTACAAGCCTTAATTCACTTTGGTTTAATAGTGTGTGACAATTTCAATGAACAATTATGCAGAATTTCATAAATTTTGAATTTTGAATTGCGATTTCAATTTTGAGCTTTTTCTGAGTGGACATAATTTGTAAATAATCCAGAAGGTATTATGAATGGATAATCGAAAAAATATATAGTTAAAAGTATAGTTACATTAAGTATATTTACGGAAAGAAAAAAAGAAAAAAAAATATAAATAAATATATATTTACGAGATTTGCTTGAGGGCTTAATTTATTAAAGTTCTAGTAAAATTGTTAAAAAGCTTTAGTCGGGATTTTCAGAAATACTTAGGCTGCACGCCCTGACCACTGTCATTGTTGGTCAATGGAAAATGCTTGTAAAACGATTAATGCAATTAGTAAAAAGGAATAAGTGCATAAAAACAATAAAATAAATACAGCGAACTTGTAAAATTGCGAATATTGCAGAAATAATTAATTAAGCTTCACTCAAAGTGCGCAGCATACCAATGTACTTACATACATACATACATACATATACTATATATGAATATGCATATATTCAATTCAGAAAAAAAGTATTTATTGTTGAAAGCGCAGTAATGTTGGCTCATGCAGTGAACCACCGTAACTGTGGGTCGTTTGTTTAACAAAGGGCAATAAGTGTAAAATTAAATTAAAATTTGTTAATTAAATAAAGGACCACACATCGCGGAAAACGCGGGCGTATATTTTTTTTTATTTATCAGTTAAGAAAATTGTTACTACATGTGGCGCTTACTGATCGATTATTCATTAATAATTCCGATTAATTAGCAATTTTAAATTAATTTTCGGTATGCATAATTTCCTAAAATCATCAATTTTCATTCCTATTTACATATGCAATTAAGTCACGCAGAAGAGTAAAACATCTGTAAATTACTATATTATTCCCGTGCAACATGTTGCAATGGTATAAAACTACAACAAAAACAGAAAAAACGTTAACATCAGCCGTGTGCACAGAAGCTGTAATATCCATTACAAATACAAAAGACGCTATGTAATAACTTGATTTTGATCGTTCAGTTTGTGTGACAGCTATATGCATTATTCCGATATGGAAACTATTTTTTAGCTATAACCTTAAAGCAATTTTAAATATTCAACTTTGCAATAATTTATTAAATTTAGTGTAGTAATAGCTGACATTATATAAGTTGGTATAACTCTCAGAGACGTCTGTGCTAAATGTCACATCAAAATAATCATTAATGTTTAGTATACGCGGGTCTCCATGGAAAGTGAGGCCGCAGAGTCTGTTAGAATTTCTTACTCATGGACATAGCAACTGAACTCGTTGACGACGAAACTCGTCCAGGATGGCCATCAAAATCAACTGATGATCAGCACGTCAATAAAATAAAGAAACTGGTGCTTGAGAATCGACGATCAATAGTCAAAGATTTTCCTGGCAACATTGGAAGATTTGAAGGATCAGGAAAGACCATTTTGAGAGATCATTTGGGCAGAAAAGTGAAAAAACGATTGGTTTCAAAATTGTTTCGAAAACACCGTCGCGTTACGCTTGTGAAGCAATGCCTTCCGACTATCGGGATGTCATGAAACGAATTACTCTTGCGATGAGTCTTGGAGATCCGGAAACTGACGATCAATCGGCTGAATATCGTGGCAAATGAGAGCCGAAGCCGAAAATGCACGTCAAAGTAGTTCCAAAATCCAGGTTATGTTAACAGCTTTCTTCGACTATTGAGGTGTGGTACACTCCGAATTTCTTTCGACCGGCCAAACTGTTAACAAAGAATACTATTTGATTGTTATGCGTTGTATAATTCGTAAAAAGAGGTCTGAATTACGTGCGCTAAGCTCTTGGGTTTTGCATCGCGATAAGGCACCGTCGCATACTGCATTGTTTCTCCGTGAGTTTTCCGTCAAATCTTCAACCAATATCGTGTCGTTTTCGGCTGATTAGCTCCGTGTGACTTCTGGTTATGCAGCAAAGTCAAACGACGGCTCTGGGGAAACCGTTTTGTGTCAATTGAAGACATTAAACGTGAGCACATAGCTACACGCTTCGAAGGCTTTTTACCAAATTGACTTTAACAACTGTTTTGAGAATTGGGAAAACGTTGGCACAAGTGCATTGTGGCCAAGGGGGATTACTTTGAGCGGGACGACATAGATTTTGAAGAATAAATTAATCATTTTCAAATTCTGAACAAAGTCTTACTATTTTTTTGCTTATAGCAGTATGTTACGTTGTAACAGTATCAGCATTGGGATTTCCTCGAACTTGAAATTCTGTGAATATTTTAATAACTTTCAATGAGATACTTATGTACATAAATAACTTTACAATTTCTATGTAATTGTTTACACGTTCAGCATTATTAATAATTACAAATGTTATAGGTCAATTGCAAAATTCCCGGCCTACCATAGGAAAATATATTTTTTCCAAAATAAGTTTTATTTTATTCAACATAGTTCCTTTCAAGGGTGATACACCGATAGTAGTGATGCTTCAACTTTTCGGTACAGTTTTTGTAGTACGATTTGTTCTTTATTTCCAAATTTTATTCAGTTTCGGCGTTCTCTTCGTCGTGTGATAAAAATCTCTTCAGAGCGAGCATTCTTTCGAGATCTGAGCGCAGGAATTAGTCGCTTAGGGCTAGTCGAAGTCGAAGTCCAATTCATGGACAACTGACTTGTTGTGATGTCTTGTTGAAACAGCACTTCCTTCAAATTCGACCGTTTATTGACGATTTCATTCTTTAAATGGTGCAATAACTCTATATAACAGTCGCTATTGATGGTCCTTATATTTTTAAGCCAGTCACTAAAAATTATTCCATGTGTATTCCAAAATACGGGAACGCCATAACCTTGCCAGTCGACTGTTACGTTTAACCCACGCTTTTTCATACCCAAATGTTCGTGAATTATATGATGTGTACATTCAGTTGATATCTTAGAGTGTCTGCTATCGCATCCAAATTATTTTCCACTTCCGTCTTCGGTGTTCATTTGACCACGCCTAAACTTAGCTTACCAATCCTTAATGGCTTATTGTCATGGGGCAGGTCCGGAAACTCGTCATTAATTCAAGCCATTTGTTGCACAATAGCAAAAGTTGCTTCACACAAGATGTTCTAATTCACTAGCTAATGCTCTGACAGCTGTCAAATTTATACCTATGTTCTTTGAAATAGTAATGCCATCTCTGTGACAGGTCGAGTACTTTGACTTGTTATGTGTATATATGTATTTAATTAAAAAGTTTTCAAAAAGTTGCATTTGTCAAACAAGTTGTATACGTTTTCCATAAATTTTTCAATGTTTTCGAACTTAAAACGGGAATTTTTGCTATGAATTCATGAATAACATGAGCATTGCTAACCGAGACTCTCTTCTTTTTATTTGATATTATTTGAAAATCCATTGGGAAGAGTCGGCACACAGTTAGAAATATTACCGGCCGAGTATTTTCAGTATTAATATGTCAAACAAGCCGTTGTTATAAGTGTTCAAGTTTTTGAGCGTTTACATGTCGGCTTTAAAGATGGCGCACCCTGTACTCGAATTTGCAATGCAATAGAGATAGCAGCTTCTGTCAATTTGTGGCACTTCTGTTCTGTTTATTTTTTTTTTCTCAAACGTACATATGTGTGTGTGGGTTTCGACTCTATTTCACCTCTGCTGATAAGCAAGTTCGGGCGTAAAAGCGCACGCAAAATTATCAATAATAAAGCAGTTTATCGCCGATTAAAAATATTACCCAACACAGTTTGCCATTTCAAGCGGTACAAAAAGACCGCCTTTGTACTATATACATATATGATGAGCTCATGTAATGAGTATACATTAGTGCAGCAATTGATGTGATCGCTTAAATTATTCCTAGTAAATTGAAAGTTCCCTTTCTACCTGATTCTTGGCTAGTAATAAGGGATATTATTCCAAATCCAGATACAATTAAAATATAAACTTCAAGGTGCTCAGAAAATTAGAAAAGTGTTGATAAAGTATAAAGTCTAAAGAAAATTATAGAATACACTCAGTCAAAGACATGTGAAAATATGATGTGCGTACTTCATCATCTTGAGAAGCTATAAACTAAATTAGAATAATATCGTTAAAAAATTTTGAACGGTGCGTTAATTTTGTGTTTGCTGGGTAATAAAGAAGCTTTGTTCACATGTGTGTTTTCATTATATAAATAGGCTTACGCGTGTGTCATTTTGTTATGATAACTTACCCCACATTGATAAGAGGAATAAGCCAAATGTCGTCATAGTTATTTGAAGTGATCAATACACTTTAATTATTTCACTTTTCAAGGACTTGAAAATCTGGAACTTAGTTCAATTGTTATTTCAAGGACTTGAAATTCTGAAATTTATTTTAATTGTTATTTCAAGGACTTGACGTTATTTCAAATGTTATTCGTAGCTCTTGACTACAGTTTTACTGGTTTTTAATTTTTCACAGATTTTTTGCGTTTTGCCACCGGCTTTTACCGGAACTTTTTAATTTAATTACCGTTGCTGTAAACGAAATCAAAGCAAATGGATTTTTTCCCGGCCAGTAGAAAATTAAGTTTGGTTACGGTTTTACACGGTTGTTGCTAACTTTTTAACAGCATTTCAACAATTCTATTTGCTCTTCTGATTTTCTGCTATTTATTTTGTGTGATTTTTCTTGCACCTTTTTTTCCGTATGGACGACCGTTTCCTTTCCGTTTTACGCGTCCGTTCGCTTGTACGTCCCGAGTACCTTTGCAATGTGCGCCTAACTGTGTAATCGCTATCAGCCAACTGATACGCTCACGTCGTCCCACACTCACCGTACACACTTGGGTTGTTGAGTGCTTGCGCTGAGCGTTGGACGCACACGTTTATAGACAGCAAATGGCAAAGAAAAGCCAACAACAACAACAACACAGCTGTGTTCTGACTAGCGGTTGACTGCAAAACCAATGCTAAGCAATGATAATGAAGTGAGCCAGCAACAACAACACAATGGGTTTTTGTAAAAACCAAAAACACAAACAAAGCGCAAAGAGAAATTAGAAACAGAAAAAAAAAAAACAATTTTAATGCAGTAATCTTTAAAGTAAATAAACAAAATTAAATGAAATTAAAACAAAATAACCGCAATAAAGCAAAATGGAAAGAAAATAATAACAAGTTAGATGGTGAGTGATTAATTTAGGCAATTTTTTTTTTTTAATGAAATTGTGTGGTTAAATGAGATAAAATATTTTTGGTTTGCTTTTCAAAATAATTTCGTTTGCTATTATTCTATTATCACAAGCGCTAATTTCATCAAAAAAGTTTTCATTTCGAACATTTCACACTCTTGCTATTTGCAAGGTTTAAAGGCAGGGAGGTACCGTCAGGTACATTTGGCCGGTTAGTTATATGAGGTCTAGGGCGAGTTTTCATCCAATTTTATTCATTCTAAGTACAAATATGCAGAATTATAAGAAAAACAGGCTTTCTCAATTTTATTAAGATAACTCACATACTGGCCGATATGTGCGGTATAAAGTCAGCTCTAAAATTTTTGTATAAGGTATAGGGCGACTACATAAAGTTTTGACCCGATTGAAATCATTTGTGATTCACAGTGATACCATCATCAGGCAACGATTCTCTCTGAATTTCAAGTATAAATCTGACACATTGACCAATATTTTCGATACAAAGTCAACTATGAGTACTGCGGTTCAAACATTCGGAACGTAGGGACTTGAACAGTTTATGTAGGATTTGGACAATTTATGGCCATTGTTATATTAAGAGCTTCTTGATTTGTACACTTGAGAGAAAAGTATCAGATGGAATTTATAATTGTGTTATATAGGAAATAGGCGTGGCTGTAGTCCGATTTCGCCAATTTTCACATTGTAACTTAAAAATGGTAGAGGAATGCCACATACGGAATTTGGTTGAAATTTTTCGAGCGGGTCTCGAGATATATGGTAACGGTGGCTAACTTCAACCAAAGGACGGTGTACCCACAGACTTATATCTGACATCTATATGTGGATAACTAGACTACATTGGGACCTGGATTTCCACCTGACCGAAATATTATGCTAGCATGGGTGCTTCAGTCCGTATTGTTCGATGTGTACGGAGTCCACAGAAGACTCTGAACGCGTGTTTTTCCATTTCCCTCCATTTCTAAATATAAGAGGAAAGTTAGCCCGTGCTATAAAGGAAACGTAAAATTTCTTGTCACTTTCGCGAAGTAATACCTTATCTGGTGRTTTCGTGGGAGAGTCTTGAGTTGGGAGTAGGTTAAGTTTAGCGGTTTAAAGTTCTGCATTATGGTTTGCGATTTTTCTTCTACTATAAAAAAGGGCACGGCCACACCCACTTTTTCAGAATTATTTGCCCACAGCTGCCTCTTGCTACTGCGATCTCCTGTGCAAATTAAAGTTTTATATCTTAATTTATTGTGTTTGTGGGCGTGGCAGTGGTTCGTTTACCCCCATCTATGAACTCGTCGTTTTTTTTTTAATAAGGAACGAGCATACGTAGTTTCATCAAGATATCTCAATTTTCACTCAAGTTACAGCTTACTCGGACGATCGGAGAGACCTGGATTTTAACTCGCCTCGTTATACTGATCATCTATATATATTATATTATGTATATAATCCTACAACCGCGAATCGAACAAAACTATTATATTCTATAGCAACATGTTACAAGAGTATAAAAATAATAATTTATCAACGTTATTAAAAAATAATATTAAAAAATCTTCATTTTTTTGCGCCGCTTATATCAATAGGCGATATTGGTTTCAATTGCTTTAGCTATTGCTTTTGCTGTTTTTGTGCGTTTACTTCAGTAGAGAGCGCGCTTCTGCGATCAACAACAATCACCGTTGCCAAACCTGCCAAAGCGTTTGCTCTTGTCGCCACTCATATGCTGCTGTATTGGTTATAATAATCTCTCTTCGTTCATGGAGCAAGCGAACGCTCTCCATGTTTATCATTCGTGCCAAGTTTATCGCCTCTTACGATTGATGGCTTAATTTGTTGGTATTCGGAAGACTTAGCAAAATACAAAAAACAATAATAAATCATTTTGCATTTATAATACTGTTGTCATGCTGATAACGGTAACGGTATTACACCTATTACGCAAAGAAATGTGTCTTATTATTTTTTTTACATTGAATGCTTTGGAAGAGCTCTTCACACAGTAATTACAACTGATTACATTGACATTGAAAATGTAAAATTATATATAAACAGGGTGTTACATAGATGACGTAAGCAATATTTTAATTTTTGACGAATTTTTCACCAGCAAAAGCCAAATTTGCCAGAGACATTAACAAGTAGAAATCACTCGGTGCCAAGTACGAACAAAAAGCTGGATGCATTAAAAGCTCTCAATCAAACTTCCGAAGCTTCTTGTCCTGATGAAACACAATTCCCAAACTATTGGCCAAAGCTAGGGGCTTTTGGGTGATTGCTTTCTTTAGACGGTTCAATCGTTGACAGCGTATGTTCAATTTCAGATTTACTGCAAATCTCAAAAGCACATAGCAAAGTCCGGCTGAGCGTTAATCTTGAGTTTATCACCGTTTGCACTGGCTGGCCGCGATTTCAAAATGACCGTATTCTCCGACTGTTGTCGTGAGTGGCTAAGTTTTCTTCACGAGTAACTATATATTGATGTGTTATCAATTCAGCAACAATTGGCAGAAAATAATTTGCTCCATTAAGTCTTTTTTGTGCGCTAGCTCATGTAAGACCCATACAGCTAGTGGACTTGCTGATTTCCAGAGAAACTGCAAAATTACAAAATCACTCGATCTCGATCTGAAAAGTTTTTTTTTTTTTTTTGCAACATAATCTTATTTTTGTAACACTATGTATTGGAAAAATAGTGGAATAACATATATTTTTTCAGAAATGAGCGCAAAAGTACCTGGTAAAATTCCATACTTATCACCAATTTCAAAATTTTTAAGCTCTTTCATTAGTTGACCAATGATGGGTTTAACTTAATTTATTGGTGATAATTAATACACTTAAAGCAGGGGATTTTTCTGCTCAAATAACAACAGCACTATATTAACGTCTTTCCGATTTGGACAGTGCTCGTACAAACATTGTGATCACAAAGTACTCGGAAATTATAATTATTATTAAAATTAAAATTAAAACGCAAAATATTGAATTATTCAAAAATATTTATTTTGTCGCCTTCTAAGTAAGCCCGACCAGATATCATATATTTACGCCAACGATTTTCCAGTCTGCGAAACAGTCCCTTCAGCGAATTTTGTTATATCGATGGACTGAAAGCGTGTCAAACTCATAAACCCATACCTCATCGGCAGTTATAATCTCTCCATTAGTATGGAATCGGCATTCACACGATCAAGCATGTCCAAAGAGACCTGTTTACTGTACTCATTTGGAAAAAAATTCTTCGTTATCGCGTTTTATACCCAAATTTCCACCAACATCATTTGAACGCGAAAGATGTAGAGCTCTCTTGCGATCTCTATATCACTTGGCTGACGATTTTCAAGCACTCTAGCGGTTTTTTATGTGCTCATGTACATGCGAGGTATTTTTCGCCGTTGGGCGTTGGAGGAGGGCGCAGTGAACTTTCTTCATGGTCTATAGTGAAGAGCTCTTTATCAACTTCAGGTACACATTTGACTAATGCAGCGGTTTTCAAGCTGTGGTTGCTGCCATCAAGCTAGCTGTAGAATTACTGCACCGGAGTGCAATCTCTTCCAGTCTTCCAGAAAAGAAACTATACACTTTAGCCACTCAGATAGCAGAGCGGAGATACTAGCCCTGAGCTCATTAACTTTGCATTCAGAGCTGTTTAAAGAATGCCTAACCTCGTTATCAATGTCAGCGAGTCACATTGTAAAAGTACTTATTACGCACGTAACTGTAAAACTGACGATCTGGCAAGGAAAGGTATCCTAGACCCGCTAACAGTTGAGTGGGATTGGGTCATTGCTCCCTTCTTCTCGTCTCTTTTACTACGGTATAGCTGAGCTTTGTGGGGGCTTGGTCAGCACTGATCTACCATCGTAAGATATCTTTGGTCTTAGATCATTTTTAGGGATTCAGTGAACATTTAGCTTGTAGGAAAGCTGGAGTAGTTGTGGTACTTCTAAGAGAACATTGCCTTGTTGGCGTTCTTGCTGTAAGTATGAATATCTTACGGGACGCCAGTTGCAGAAGCTGTATGGAAGTAGACGAAGTGGAAACATCTCAACACCTCCTTCTTGATTGTATCGCATTTGCGAAGCTTAAACGCCTTCAGATACCTCATCGAACTGTTGGGAATAGATATTGAACCCCTGTGCAAATTTTCTATTAGACACAAGGCGCTTTGTTGACTTATAAGATCGAATACAGGGGTTCTCTTTTTTATGGCTTAACAAAGGACTGCGTGTAGTAGTCCAATTGAGATCTCTGGATCTGCCATCGATCGTAACCTATTTATGAATTATAATTATATAACAATTATATTATTATGGCCTGTTGATCGCGTAAGAAAATCAATACCGTCTGAACATTATTCAGCAATTCAGCGCAATATATTACTCAGCTGAATTTTAACTACTATTTTTATGACCGCAACTGTATGTATGTACATATGTGGTAGCATAACACAAAAAACATTCGTTGTTGCAAGCCATCGAGTACAAAAATCGCTTTCATTAAATGCAGTTATGTGAGCGTAAACAATGCTTTGCTCTCCTCTTCTCTTCCGTAAAGCTTTGAAAAAGATCAAGTTTTTGTTGGTCGTTTTTCGCTACAAGATAGAAATCACCAACACGGGGATGTACACATTCAC